GAATACACATTTCTCCAAAGAGGACATACTAACCAATAAGCACATGAAAAGATGTTCAACATCATTAGGTTTCAGTAGAGAAAAGTAAATCAAAGTCATAAGATAATCATCCTCTAGGATGGCTATAATAAAAATAAATCATGAAAAATACAAAGGTTTGGGGAGGGTGCGGAGAAAGTGGAACTTTTGCACACTTTTGGTGGGAATGTAAAACGGTACAGCCACTGTGGAAAACAGTATGTTCCTCCAAAAATTAAACACAGAATTACCACGATTCAGTAATTACACTTCTGAGCATATGCTCAAAAGAATTAAAGGCAGAGACTCGAACATGTATTTGTACACCAGTGTTTACAGCAGCGTAACTGCAACAGTCAAAAGTCAGAAGCAACCCACGTGCCTATCTACGAAGAGCATCTAAACAAAATGTGGTACATGTGTACATACAGCATAGCATTACTCAGCCTTACAAATGAAGAAAATTCTCATGCCACGATACGGGTGCGCCTTGAGGACTTTACGCTAAGTGCAATAAGCCGCTAACAAAACTGTATGACCCGCCTACCCGAGGTCTCTAGAGCTGTCACAGTCCTAGAGACAGAGTGCGTGGTGACTGGCAGCGGCTGCGCGCGGCAGGAGGAAGGCGGAGTTACTGTCTGATAGGTACAGTTTCCATTCTGCAAGATGAAGAGTTCTTTTTTTAAAAAAAAATTTTTTTTAATGTTTTATTTATTTCTAGGAGAGAGAGAGACAGCGTGAGCAGGGGAGGGTCAGAGAGAGAGGGGGTGACAGACTCTGAAACAGGCTCCAGGCTCTGAGCTGGCAGTCAGCACAGAGCCCGACGCGGGGCTCGAACCCACGAACCGTGAGATCATGACCTAAGCGAAAGTCGGACTAAGCCACCCAGGCGCCCCTGCAAGATGAAGAGTTCTATGAATGGATGGTGGTGATAGTTGCACAACCATGTGGCTGTGCTTAAGTTCACTGAACTGTACACTTAAAAATGGTTAAGATGGTAAATTTTATCGTGTGTATTTTACCAAGGCTAAAAAAACCTAGTGCCTAGCATATGGGCTCAGAACATGTTAGCTACATGTTACTTTCATCACATGCAGGCTTTTGAGACTCATGGTAATAAAAGAAGGAATACAAGATGGAGTAATGAAAGAATACAAGGCACAGCAGAGAAGCATGGAGTTGAGGGGTGATTTTTTTTTTAAAGTAGCTTCCCAGCATGGAGCCTAAAGTGGGGCTTGAACTCATTACTCTGAGATCAACTGACTGAGCCACCCAGGCACCCAATGAATTTTGTTTTTGAGATAGAAGAGAGTAAGGAATTTTATTTTACTTTATTAATGCTTATTTTTATTTCTGAGACAGAGAGAGACAGAGCATGAGCAGGGGAAGGGCAGAGAGCGAGGGAGACACAGAATCCGAAGCAGGCTCCAGGCTCTGAGCTGTCAGCACAGAGCCCAACGCAGGGCTTGAACCCATGAACCGCGAGATCATGACCTGAGCCAAAGTCATTTGCTTAACTGACTGAGCCATCCAGGTGCCCCAAAGGAATTTTAAAATCCTGATGGGAATAAGAAGGAGAAGCTGAAATTTCATGTGATAGAGAAGAGGTAACTGAAGGCTTCTGGCTCTGTAAGGCATCACACACAAAGATGAAAAGGACAATCAGCCAGCAATGGAGGAGACCTGAGCACATTAGGGCGCTGTGGGAGCAGAGTCTGGGAAAGCTCGCAGGATGGGATATACCAGAGCTGAGCCTGCAAATATTGATGACAAAATGATAATAATGAGAATAAGAGGCATTTATCAAGCAATTACTATGTGCCAAGAAGTGTTCCAAGTACTTCTTATGTAGTATCTTAATCCTCAAACAATGCTGTGAGAATTATTGAAAGACAAAAAGGAATTGACTGTGCGTGTGCATGTAATGGGGACAGCTTGGTGTGCAGCAAAGTGCAGAGTCTGGTAAGGCTGGAGCGCCAAACTCAACCTAGGAGAAGCACTTGAACTACTCTGGGACTAAATCCCAGACTCGTGTATGCCTGTTCAGAAGTTCAGAAATTATTGTGAAGATTATGCACAGATTATGCGCTTTCTTCATACGTACCCCTGTATACGTATGTTCTGGGCATATCCACATGTAAGCACGCACATGTGTAAGATGTAGGTAAAATTTATGCATTTTGGATACAAGTCCATTCCATAATTTGTAAATATTTTCTCTGTTCCAGGCAGTCTTTTCATTCTCGTGACAGTATCCACACATATATGTATTTACGTACGTTTACATATATATATTAAACTTACAAGTTATTTAAAAGCGTATTTAAGTAGGCTCCACACCCAATGGGGCGCTTGAACATGTGACCCTAAGATCAAGAGTCACAGGCTCAGACTGAGCCAGCCGGGCACTCCTCCTGGGCTGTGTTTTTGAGCAGTTTTAGGTTTGCAGGGAAGTTGAGCAGAGTAGAGTTCCCATTCATGCCCTGAGCACTCCCCCTCGTTTCCCATCGTTAACATCTCCTGTTCGTGCAGTGTGGCTGTGCAGCTCATGAGCCCATACTAACAACCCATCAACCGAAGTCCATGGTATACCTTACATTAGGGCTCACTTTGTGTTGTGGTTCTATGGTTTTGACCACATATGACTTGCATCCACCATTACACCCCCGTTCAGAAGTTCCGCTGCCCTGGAAATCCTGTCCTGCCCTAGTCATCCCTCCCGCCCCCAGAAGCCCCCGGCAACCACTCATCTGTTACTGTCACCACGGTTTTCCCTTTTCCAGAATGTCCTGTAGTTGGAACTACATGGTGTGCGGCATTCTCAGCCAGACTTCATTCACCTACTGAAAAATGTCTTCAACCATAGACTTTGAAATTTTTAATTTGACTAAGTCCAGGTTAACTGTTTCCTTTATTGTGCTTTAGTATCATATCAAAAAATCTCATACCTTTTCATAGAAATTTTGTTTCAGGTTTCACATTTAGATTTACGACGCTTTGAGTTTTTGTATATAATGCAAGATATGGATTAACAATTTTTTAACATACAATATCCAATTTTTTCAGTCTTTCATTTTTTGGAAAGACTACTTTTTCTTCAATTACTTTTATTCCTTTATCAAAAATCAACTGACCTTGCGGCACCTGGGTGGCTTTGTCGGTTAAGCACCCGACTTGGTTTTGGCTCAGGTCATGTTTGCCAAGTTTGAGCCCTGCATTAGTCTGCGCTCACAGTGTGGAGCCCAGTTGGGATTCTCTCTCCTTCACTTTGCCCCTCCCCAATGCAGGGGCTCGAAGTCATAAACCCTGAGATCAAGACCTAACTGAAATCGGATGTTTAAGCAACTGAGGCACCCAGGTGCCCCTCTGACATCATTTCTCTTATTCATGTTATTGTTAATTTCTTCTTTTTCTGGTTCAGTATGGCCAGGGATTTCTCTATTTTATTGATCTTCTCAAATAATTAGCTTTTGTTTTCAGTGATTTCCTGTTTTTGTTTTCTATTTCATTGGTTTCCACTCTGACATTTATTATTTCCCTTTTCATACTTACTTCGGGTTTCATTTGCTCTTATTTTTCCTGTTTCTTAAGAGGAATGCTGAAATTGTTGGTTTGAGAACAATCTTCTAGTAGTATTTTGGTCACATTCCACAAATTTTAAAATGCTGCATGTTTATACTCACTCACTTCAAAATTCTAATTTGCCTTCTGATTCCTCCTTTGATCCATAGATAATTTAGAAGTAAGTTATTCGGCTTCTATTTAGACTTTCCAGATAGCTATTACTGATTTCTAACATAATTTCATTGTGGTCATAGAACATACTTGTTTTGTAGCCTAGAATAGTATCCATCTTGGTAAATGTTCTTTACGTAATCACTTGAAAATGTGTATTTTGCTGGTATTATGTAACGTGTTCTATAAACGTCCATTAGGTCAAGTTGGTTGATGGTATCATTCAACTATATCCTTGGTGATTTTCTGGTACTAGTTCTGTCATTTATTAATAAAGGGGTATTGAAATCGCCAACTACAGTCTACAACTTCAATTTACAGTCGGGTTTTGTTAAAAAAAATTTGGTTTTGCTTCATGTATTTTAAAGTTTTATTATTAGATGCAAAACTGTTTAGTTATTACGTCTTCTTATCTTTTGATAAACGTATCACTTCATCATCATGACATAATCCTCTTTAAAGAATTTTTTTTAACGTTTATTTTCGAGAGAGACAGAAAGAGAGTAGGGGTAGGGGGGCAGAGAGAGAGGGAGACACAGAATCTGAAGCAGCTCCAGGCTCTGAGCTGTCAGCACAGAGTCTGACATGGGAGTCGAACTCACGAACTTATGACCTGAGCCGAAGTCAGATGCTCAATGGAATGAGCCACCCAGGCGCCCCTTCCCCCCCTTGAAATGCTCCTCATAATTTCTAGCAATATTCTTTGTTGTGACATCTACAGAGAAATAGGCTTGCAGATGCAGACATAAATTCAGATTTAAACACGGGTATGAGGTGGGATATCGAACAACAGATGTCTAAGAGTTCAAGAGAGAAGTGTGATTAACACAGTGTTACCACAGTGCCTGTGCAGTGTCTGTGTATCAAGGTACTCCACAAAGGTTTATGAAATAACTCGGCTGAGCAAACTCTGGTCTCCAAAGTAATTCCATTATTTAGAAATGTCCACCTGATCCTAGGTCACGTGAAGATAAATTCATGGTCTCCAAACTCAAACGAGCCTGCAAACTCTTATCATGCTTTCTAGTGAGTTGTGTATTAGTTACCCGAACAGCTCTTATCTCTTTTCTACGCTGCTTGAACCTCAGCCTTCTCGCCTCCCTCTCCTTTCCGGTAGATGTTTCATCTTCTCCGTTCACAGTGAGAACAGAAGTTGTCAGAGAACCCCTTCACTTCCAGTAAACACACGTCACCTGTAACTGCATCCCAGCTTCCCTCCCTACCCTCACAATGAAAAGTGTTTTTACCTCCTGACACTCTGGATGTCATCCCTCCCATCTTCCAGAGGACTTTGCTCGTTATTCCTCTCTCCTCTGCACCAGCAAACCTTCTGTCCCCACTGGCTCCCTCCCACCAGCTTAAGCTGCTCGAGGATCTCCCATCTATTTTTTAAAAAAAAAAAATTTTTTTTTAATGTTTTATTTATTTCTAGGAGAGAGAGAGAGAGAGACAGCGTGAGCGGGGGGGAAGGGTCAGAGAGAGAGGGGGTCACAGACTGAAACAGGCTCCAGGCTCTGAGCCGGCAGTCAGCACAGAGCCCGACGCGGGGCTCGAACCCACGAACCGCGAGATCATGACCTAAGCGAAAATCGGACGCTTAAGCGACTAAGCCACCCAGGCGCCCTTTTTTTTTTTTTTTTTTTTAAACAGAGGATCTCCCATCTTAAAGCCCCCAGACCCACGCCACGCTTCTAGCTCCCCACTTCTGGAGTCGCCTCCACTCACCGCTCCACCTCGTCACCTCTTTACTCCTGAGCGGCTGCCACCCCAACGCTCCAGTGAAGCCACTCCTGGCGGTCACCAGGATCATCTCCCTGTTGCTAAATCCAGTGTAAACCTTTTCCCTGTTTTTCCACTTTTAAATGGCTTTTTGCCCCCGGAGACGTCTTCCCTTGGCTCCATGACATGAGGTCCTGGGCTGCTCCTTTCCACCGGCTGGTCTGCTCTCTGAAGGTTCTAACACCTTCCCGCCGAACTCCGTTTCTGCTCCCTCCGGCTCCTCCGCAGCCAGCTGCCAGCTCCACGCAGGGGACGGCCACACGCCGGCCCCAGCGGGGCTGCTTTCCTGGGCCCCACCCTCGCCTGCCACGCACCAGACAAACGCACTGGTTGCAAAGAGCCACGACTCGGGTGGAATTCTCGCGGGAACACCTGCTGACCTCGGCCGAGGAACGACACCGGTGAGCCCGTTTCCTCCCGCCGCCAAACCGCCGCGGGGGTGGGCGCAACGCTACCGGGCCTCCCTCCCCGAGACGCCGTCGGACCGCTACAAGGAGCCACTAATACGAGACTGGCATAACCAAGCGAAGCACTGTGTACACCAAGGCCCGGATCCCGTTTGTCTAGAAAGACATTTTTAATAACCTGAAACTGTAAGGGGCCGGAGATGCTGACCGGGGCCTTCAGATCGGCCTTCCGATTCGAGAACGAACGCACGGGGGGCTGCAACCTTACAGGCCCGCACGAACCAGCCAAGCGGTCAGGCAAATGCTCTGGGGGACTGGTGACACTGGGGATTCTGGTCCAATGTTGCCAGATCTCGTTTTTCTACAGAAGCTGCAAAACTTTTTTTTTTACCTTAAGTTCTTCAGTCTCCTGGTAGCAAACACCTCATTTTAAAAAAGACACTTTACGTGGACTGTCCACCCAACCAAGCCGGGAACGTGCCCGGCGCTAGCAATCGTACTCACTACACGCCGCGAGAACTTCCCACCTTCAAGAGGCAGAACTAAACGAATCTCGAGTGTTCCCCGGACACCCGCCCGCTGCCCGCAAGCCCCTCGCAGGCGCGGCGCACGCCCGACGGGCGGACTCCACCCAGGGGCCGGCCGCGCCCCTCAGGCCGGAGCGTCCTGAGGAGTGGCCGCCGCAGACACGACCGCGTGGGCGTGGGGGGCCGTTAGGACCCGGGCCCGCAGCCGGCCTACCTGCGCGCGGCCGCCGCGGCCACTCTCAGCGCGCCTCTGCGCTCGGGTCGGCGAGGCGCCGGGCGCCGGACAGCCGCGAGCTCGTCACGAGACCGGCGGCGCCGCGCAGGCGCGCTCTGCGACCGGCGCTCTGCGCACGCGCATCCGTCCGGCGCGGCGGAAGTGAGGCACCGGCGATTTTCCGGGCTGCGTCGCGCCCCCCGCGGGCCTACGTCACGGCGTCGGGGCGGAAGATGGTGCGGTTCGCGGCCGGCGGTTGCTGAGCGGACCCGGACGCAGCTGCACCCCGAGCTCCCCGCTCCGGCGCCCGCCGCGGGGCCGTAGCCATGTCGCTGCTGCAGTCTGCGCTGGACTTCCTGGCGGGCCCGGGCTCTTTGGGCGGTGCTGCCGGCCGAGACCAGACGGACTTCGTGGGGCAGACGGTGGAGCTGGGCGAGCTGCGGCTGCGGGTGCGGCGGGTCCTGGCCGAGGGTGAGGCCCGGGCGGCGGGGCGCGGGGCCCGGCGGCGGGGGCCAGCGTGGACCCGACGGGCGCGGGGCCGGTCTGGAGGGGGCGGGGCCAGGCTGGGCAGGGTGCGGGTCGGCCCGGCGCGGCGGCGGGTGGAGAGGGTCGCCGCCGGGGGGAGCGGGCGAGGCCGACCCTGAGTGACTGCTGAAGGTGAGTGAGGCCGGGTGTGGGGCCGGGCGCTTCCTTGCGGGAGGCGTGGCAGTCGGAGCAGGTGTGGGGCTGGCCTGCAGCCGGGGTTAAGGCCGTGGCAGTGGGGAGGAGGTGGGGAGCAGGTGAGGGGCCACAGTGGAGGCGGAAGGAAGGGAACCCTTGTGAGTCAGGGCCCTTCCATCTAGGGCCGTTGTGGGGGTGGTGGAACGGCACTGGGTCTCCAGATGTAGGGCCGGCCCCCCTCGATTGTCAGGATTCTGAGCGTGGGTGCTCGTGCAGCTTGCTGAGGCTGGTTGCAGTCCTGACCTCCTCGGATGCTGGCGTAGCCGGTGCTGTGACCCACAGCCTAGCTCCTTCGTCTTCACCTGGGCTTCCCTTTGCCCTGATCTCTGAGAGTCTGTGGGAGCTAGGGCACGCCAGCGGTTGTCACCTGTACGGAACCTTGCAGGCTGGACTCGTCAGGCATGGAGGAATTTCCGGGCCGATCTTTAGTCCTTTGTTTCTGCATGCTGTTTCCAGCTTCCTGATGTCCTTTCTCTTCCTCACACAGAATCTATTGCCAACGTCGAAGTGATCCCATTCTCTCTTCTGGATTTTCCTTACATTTTGTCGGGGGCGCCCACAGGGGTATGTCACGTTTTGCTAGCTGGGCTGCTTAATGGCTAAGCACAGTTGTCTTTGGGGCTTGTACTGAAACAGAACGGTATTTCCCGAAATTAACATGGGGCGAGGGAGCAGCAGGTTGAAATTGCAGACCTGTCTGGTAGCTCTCAGGACCTCTGGGTCAGCGTGTTACGTGGCCGCTTCTACTTCCGTTTACGCTCATTTTGAGGTAGGAAAGTGGCTGACCAGTTTGATGTCCTTATTCCTAAGGACCTGAGGGGATATTCTGGCTGCGACATCATCAGACGCTGTTTCTCCATAAAAACAAACAGATTTTGAGGGTGGTTTTTGTTAAAAAAACAAACAAAAAATACCCCAAAACCCAACGGCAACCCAGGCCCTTCTTCAGAGGTGGCCCAGACCGTCTGCTAACGCTCTGAGGCGTGCCTGTTAGAATGAGAGCTCGCCCACAGCAGTTCATCTGTTCTGAAAGTACCAGACACTTGCCTTGTGTTTTAAGAGATCCATAGTGGACAGTAGGCAGTGTTTGTCTTCTGGAACTTAAAATTAGACACACACTCTGATGGCAGGACAGCACAGCACTGGGGGATCCCTGGGGCAGGACTGGCAGTGGTGAGGGGTCCAGAGAGGGGAGAGAGTGCGCTCCGGGCAGGGGCAGGGAGGAGGAGGGGTAATCAGAGATGGGAGGTGGGTCATGTGGAGCAGGAAGCTGACACCATTTAAGTTGTTTAACACCAGGAAGAAGAACAAGGAAATGGGACTAGCTGATGTGGTTGTGCAAAAGCATGCACTCCCTTTGCTATCTAGGCAAGTTCGGAGATCAAAATAACCAGTACAGTTATGAGCTGTAGATTTCCTCTTTATAAATTGAACAGGCGGCTTGTAGCGTCTTTCTGAATTGATATATTAAGGAACCTGTATGAAATCTTTCATGTAAAACAGCAGCCTTGGAACACAGGCTGTGAGAATTCATGCTGTCTTGTATAAATGTGGGGAGTGGTCCAGACTCAGCCCCCTGGGTGTGGATGTTGACAACTTTAGAATTCTTAGGGTTCGGAAGATAATAGACACCCTGTATATCCTATGATATTTCTACAGGGTTTGGGAATGTATTTAATATTCAAATAAATCAGTTGTTTGTAATTTGATAAGTATTCTCATGTGGGTGATTAAGTCGTTAAATAGTCCTACATCAGTTCATGTCAGGTGTTGTCCAGATGAATTTATAGTAGATCAGGTTTTGCTGTCAAACGGTTTAAAAAAAAAAGCATTGTTTTTTGCATCTGTAACACAGAATGGGTTGTGGACAGAACTGTGGAGCCAGATACCTTCCTAATCTTTTGAAAATTGGCTTTCAGTTTTCATTAAAAACAAACAAACAAAAAACTCGGGGCACCTGGGTGGCTCAGTCGGTTGAGCGTTTGACTTCAGCTCAGGTCATGATCTCACAGTTTATGGGTTTGAGCCCCGCATAGGGCTCTGTGCTGACAGGTCCGAGCCTGGAGCTGCTTCAGATTTTGTGTCCCCCTCTCTCTCTGCCCCGTCCCTGTTCATGCTCTGTCTCTCTCTGTCTCAAACATAAATAAAACATTAAAAAAATTAAAAAAAATAAGAAAACCAAAAAAGTTAGTGGAAGTAACGTCAGTGTCAGAGATGCTGAGTCCAAGCAGGTTCTAGAATACAGGAATACAAGTATTTATGTTCTCTTGTTTTGGATTTTGCACATTCTTGTTTCCTGCGGTCAGAAAAGGTAATGGGCATCTGGGTGGCTCAGTCTATCGAGTGTCTCTTTTTTTTTTTTTTTAAGGTTTTTTTTTTTTTTTTTTTTTATTTCTAGAGAGAGAGAGCGCGTGAGCAGGGGAGGGTCAGAGAGAGAGGGAGTCACAGACTGAAACAGGCTCCAGGCTCTGAGCTGGCAGTCAGCACAGAGCCCGACGCGGGGCTCGAACCCACGAACTGTGAGATCATGACCTAAGCGAAAGTCGGACGCTTAACCGACTAAGCCACCCAGGCGCCCCTTGAGTGTCTAACTCTTGATTTTGGCTTGACGGGCTGTGGAATAAGCCCTGTGTTGGGCTCTGTGCTGAGCGAGGAGCCTGCTTGTGGTTCGTTCATTCATTCGCTCATTCATTCCTTCTCTCTCTCTCTCCCCCTTCCTCCCCTCTTCTCTCTCTCCCCCTCTCCCTCCCTCTTTTCTCTTTCTCCCTCTGTCTCTCTCTGCCCCTCTCCCCGCTCAGGTATCCTCTTTCACTTTCTCTCTCTCTAAAAATAAAAATTAAAAACCAAAAACAGGTAGCAGAGATGATGGCTACAGCTGAGACAAGGGTTTTGTCACACAGGGTGAGTCCACCTCTCCTGTGACTGCTTCAGTCCGGCTGCACTGCTAGTGAGGGACCAGTGAGGTGTGTGGGCTGCTCCTCAGAAGGTGCCACCAGGCCGCAGAGCTGTCCCTCAGTTCGTGTGTAACGAGTCACACGTGTTTGGTTAGCTGTCAGGGGAAATGTCAGTCAGTGTTTGTTTGCTGGAGCACCGTGTGCCACGCGTGGGGTCAGTAGCCTTGGATAAACCGAACGTGGGCCCCTTGTGTTCTCCCTGGGGTCGGTGCTGGCTCGGGAAGCTGTGAGGGCACAGGGCACACTCACAGAGCCCCGCACCCCTCTGCCTCCTCATCTGCGGCCGGTGGAGACCGGCGGGGCCCGGCAGGGCCCAGGGACAGTCGCGGGGCTGAGCGAGACGACTCTTGGTCGGGGCTGTCAGGAACCACTGAGGTTGGCGTGATGGAAGGAGAGGATCGTGGGTTGGGTCAGGACGTGCTCTACAGGCGTCCGCGGCAGAGGACATTTTCCTTGATTTTAAAAGATGATCGGTGGTCACAGCACATTCATTTATCGCTCATCGCTCTTTTCATGTAGGAAGCACCCCTGATCCCCGAGCCTTTTGGCCTGGTGGTCTCGTTCCAGGTTATCTTCTCCCTCGCCCACCACGACCGCTCTCCCCCAGGGAGGGATCCTGAGTGACTCCTCCATCCAGACACCTGAGAGCACAGAGAAGCAGGGTCTTTGCAGTGAGAGCGTGGACAGCGATTCTAGTATTCAGAACGGTGTGGTTCGGTTGTGTCTGGTTAGTCGCCCTCTCCCAGCTCCCCTTCCTGCGCCCTCTTCACTTGCAGCTTGGCGACTTTATCGGCAGCCCCTTAACCGTCGTGACGAGCCCCTAGCATGGAATGATAATACCCGGCGTAACTCTGTGGAGTTCTGTTTGGTGGACACAGTGCCTGGTGCTTCATGTGGACTGTGACCCCGACAGTGGCCGAGGTGAGGCTGGTAGTAGCTTCCCGGAGCCGCCGGCCAGTGAGCGGTGGACGTGGGTCTGGGAGCCCGTGGGAGGCCGGCCTCCTTAGCGTCTGCTCGAGCGTGTCTTGTCACCCACGTGATGGCCCAGGTCAGTGTGTGG